TAAATTTATATCAAATCAAATGCTTAGGCAATAGCTAGGATAGGTGGTTCACTTTGTGACAATTCTTTTCGCCAGAATCTATCTTTCATATCTATATGTCAACCATTCGTTCTTGCTTTAAATATTGCTGTCAAATCTGGTCTAGTGTCCCTTATATATATTCAGAGATTGTTGATAAAATAAAAAAAATAAAATAATCTGCAATGTTATTGGTTCTGACCTGGCATGTCGGCTTCTCTCACTTTCCCACCGCCGTAATGTAGATTCACGGTGAAATTTCTATAAATATTTTAAAGGCAATTGTTCTGATTAACTTTCCCCTATGGTGGCTAGAGTTTATGAATTTAAGCGCAGTACTAGATTGGCAGCTAGGTCTCATAATTTTGCAGTAGAAATGGCTAGATGTAACCGTAAGTTCGATGCTAATAATTTCATCTATCACGCTTCTCATCTGCAGAACTCTCTGCCGCCTTTTTGATCCCAAGTCAACTATGATGTACAAGATTGTAAATGCAATGCCAATCGTTATCTTATTTTTGTTCTTTTTAAGTATATCACCCCAGGCATGTCGGGAGTGCCACTCGTACCCAAGGGGTCACAGAGAATGAGAGCAGGAGTAAAGCGGGTGTTTGTGGAAAGGATATAGAATAGGACGGTGATCAGAATCAAAGCATCAGAAGATGTCACTTGACATTGCATATGAATATTCGAAGGTTATCAGGGAAGCAAGTAAGAGGAAGGGAGTTCCACTGTAGGGAAGTGTAAGAGAAGAAGCTGTTGGAATAGAAGAGGCGGCTACATTCAACCGTTTCGGCAGTGAAAGGTTGAGAGCGAGATGTCAACCTAGTAGCACGCTTAAATTCATGCAGTTGGGTTACCAGTGAAAGTAGCTCGTCAGAGCACTTGCCATGAAACTATTTATAAAAGAGACAGAGGGAAGTCACAGCATATCTTTATTGTTCTCTATAGTTAATAGTATATGTTTTTTTCCATATTTTCTAACACTCAGTAACTCTCTTGCGTCTTAGTGACTTTATTGCCTTCCTTGGACTGAAGTGATTAAAAAATATCATGAAAGGGCATTTAAATATTATATGAATATTATCCGTTCCGGTGAATGCCAAATAATTTAGATTCGTAATGATTGCCATTTATTCCCATAAAAGCTGCAGACATCAAGTGAAACCAAAAAGGGACATACATTCACATGTGCAGGAACATACACGTAAAGGGTGTTCCAATAACTTGGACCGATTTTAAATGTGAATTGCGTTTAAGCGTCTAAGGATTTTTTGTCTTTTTCCTTCAGATGTAACAAATTAAGTAATTTCAACCATGGAAAGATTAACAGTCAAACAACGTGTTAAATTTATCGAAGCCTATTATGAAAACAATGCTACAATAGTTTTATTAAATGAGAAGTTCCCCGGTCGCAACATCTCTCGAATCAGCGAAGTCAATTGGCCACCATGATCGTGCGACTTTTTTTTCCTTTGGGGGTCGACTCAAAAATAACATCTATGCCAACAGTCTAACAACAATTCAACAGCTGAAGCATGAAATAATAAGGCATATTGGTGAGATCGAGGAGCAACTATGCAGAGACGTCATCAAAAATTTTGACCATCGAGTGGAGGTGTGCCGCTGAAGCCTTGGCGGACATTTGGGTGGTGTTATTATTCACACATAATCGCTATGATTTAAATAACATGATCCAGTAGAGAAATAAATAAATTTTCACCAATAACACTGATTTATTTACTGCTGACTTTGATCCGTCTTAATGAAACATCCTTTCTAATATATTGATAAATGCAATATATTCCGGTATCCAGATTCACACTCACATAAAAACCTTTCTCTGTCTGCCTCTTGTACCAGAAACATATATATATATATATATATATATATATATATATATATATATATATATACTTTGCAGACAGTTCTGTTTCGCTGTATCACAGCGTAACAGTGCGTCTAGACATCCGAATGTCTTAAGCCATGATCGAAATCCAACCGATTTGCTGTCTGTCAGAGTTTCTACCACTGAGCTATCTTCATTCGACAGAAATAAACAACTTTCTAATGTATTGTTTTTACGAATGTAAACAAACGTCAATCAGCCGGAGTGCTCCAATTCATTTTACTGAAGAGCGTTGCATTAAAGCAGGTGCCTGTTGCTTATAGAATTAGCACTGTTAACAGTGCTCAATTGAAATATATTTTCAAGAGCCATATATATATATATATATATATATATTAAATGCCTGAAATGTCATAACTGAAAGTGCGCTAGAGGAAAAGTTGCAAAAATAATTCTTTTACAGCAATCTTCAATGGGTTATATGTCCTTTGAACTATTTCATTATTTTTATATTTTTAACCTTTTAATCTCAGATTGTGAAGATTTTATGCCAACACACACACACACACACACACACATATACGCGCGTGCGCGCACGCGCGCTCATCTAGTAACACACATACGCACACACACACGCATATATATATATTTATATCAAACGGTTGAAAAAATAATACAGAATTTATCTATTTCAATGTTTCAGTCAGACAAAAGGCACGAGCCAGGGGTCAGAGGAGGGTGGAAGTGAAGAATTTCATAAAATTAAACCTGAATATTAACGTTATGACATTAAATATGAGTTATATGAAGGATGAAATATTAATTTAAAATTAAGAGAGGAATAAATTTTCCTGCACGCATCGATTAATCCCATCACGAATAACCAAAATGAAGCCTATCAACATGAGACAAGTAAAAGTGGTTCATTCCAAAATACCATATTACAATGTAAGGATACACTCAAAATCCTCGAAACTGTTATTATTCAAAATAAACAACCGCATTAAATAACATATTTTTATCAACGCAGCAGACGCCATCTTGAAGTGAAGTATATTGCATAAACACCAAATACGTTTAATATTGATGCATTTAATTTTTTGAGGTGTCGAACTCTTTCACTATTACACATGACGATAACGTGCACTGTTTTACACTTTCACCTCTCTATATGGCTTGGTCCACTTCGCATTGAAACACTGTCTCCCGTACGGTCTCTGAAGTTAAGCAACGTTAAATTTGGTCAGTATCTAGATGTCTGATTGCTTGGGAGAACCAGTTGTTGTAAGCTTGGATGTGTAGGTGATGTAATGGATAATAGCTCAAAATTGTTAATCGGTTAGCGGAGTTCCAATTCCCATTGGGTTCGTTATAGTCACTTACGCGCAAATACCCCTGGGAAAGGCATGAATCCACCACTTTTACCCCCAGCTATGAGTTAATTAGTAAGACTTGCATCACTAAAGCATTAATACGTTAAAAAAATTCCTTACAAGCTAAAAATATTTCCTAGCCTTAATATTATATTGATAACCCGTATGAAATGAATCCCTCAATAAATCCCTATAATGCCCCCTACACGCATATATCAATACACACACACACACACACACGCGCACACACACACACACACACACACATATATATATATATATATATATATATATATATATATATGTATGTAAGATAATCCTAAGGAGCCAGGCAAACCTACCTAGATTTCACCTAAACGGAACTTCAGGGTACTGCTTGAGGATCCATTGAGGTGAAACCTAGGTGGGTTTGCCTGGCTCCTTAGGATTATCTTAGGTTTTGCTCTACTTAGTGTATTGACCACTTTACGTAGTTGTCTTTTTACTCATTTTGGGTTTTTTTTTCTTTGGACTTGGAACTTAAACACTTGACGAATATTTTCGTCTTGTTTTAATGTTCTTGGTTCTTTCTCATTTTATGACACATTTTTCCTCGGGTACCGAATTGTTCTACTGCAACTTGAGCTGTCCGAGAATTTTCCAAACGAGTACCACCATATATATATATATATATATATATATATATATATATATATATATATATATGTGTGTGTGTGTGTGTGTGCGTGTGTTGTCAATTTCGGTATAAATCATTCTTTTATACATGTTTCTTTGAATGTGATATGCTAGAAAGACATTATATTCTTTAATTCTGTTTTCCTAGTGTTAGAGTTTTTTTTTATAATACGGGCACCATATATACTGTAGCAGCAGTAGAACTTGTATTTCTTTGGAAAGATGGCCTGACTGAGCCCATCCCTCACCAGGCCGGTTTTGAATTCAGAGTTTTTCCTTCTAGACGGGTTACCACCCAAGTCTATAGAAGTCACTCTGTCCTGAAGAGGAACCATACCTCTCCCAAAAGGACTAGCACATAAATGAATGTAATGAATTCGACTGGAATTTGATCTCGGCGCTCTGATTCCTCAATCCGAGCCTCTATCCATTATCCCACCGTGACTCCTATTTTCTTTATGAGGACTAAAAGCGGTCTTGTGAGAACCAATTTTGCCAGGAAGCAAAATCGCACATCGTCCTCTCCTCCACGTTAAATGTATTTTCTTCTAGAATTTTAGTCAAATGGTTTTAAGAATTAATTTCAATTGTTTCTGAGATTTTACCTGTTGGTTGTAGCGCATCGTCCTTTAAAAAATTCCACAAATTCAGCTTTCTGCGAGTTTTCGCATTTTTTTGTTCTTGTGCCCTTTTGGAAGATTTATGAATCATTTCAAAAAATTGACTCTTGCACCCACTTTATCTGCCTTAGCGATCCATGAACGAACTTTCGCTACAATTTCCTCTGAAATAAAAAGTATCGAATATTTATGTATATTCTGCTAAGTTTTCTGCCAAAATGAAATTCATACGAATCTGCAAACAATTCGTAAGTAATATACACGGACAACCGATAGAAAAATGTGTTAAAGTCTAGAATTTCACTTACGTTGTTCAAATGAGAGTTCTGTGAACTTATGCACGAAGACTGTAGTACATGTTATTCACATATTTTTGGGAAAATGAGTATCTGTGACTATTTACTTCATGTCTGTAAAGAGGAAAAAAAGCAGAATTTGGCAAAGTGAATGGTGATTATCTAGCGCATGTCTTTCTCATTTGTTATTCATTTCGTTGAGATATTCTTTACAGACATTCATGATTCATACGAAACGATGTACGTACTTATTGCTTTTCTTTTCTGTTTTCTTTTTCCAATCGTGTGTCTTCTCAGTACATGCCATTGGCTTATTCGTATTCTCAAGGTAAAGATGGCAGTGAAGTGATGGCACGAACGTTAGGGACGTCAATAGGTGTGAAGAAAAGACCAAGAAAGTAAAGGCGGGAAATGAATTCGTCTAAAGATGGATCTGAACTTTCATCGTCGAAGCCATTTATTTCTTCAACTGCGTTTTATTTTTTCCTACCGTTTCTGATTATTTCAAGATTTTCCATGTTCTTTATTTTTTCATAATTTTTAATTTTATTTTATTTATGCTTATCATTTTCGTGATTGTTGCTGGCTATGGAATGTGTGTTTAGGACAATTTCCAGGCAGTTAAGGAGACGACATAAATCACAAGCGAATAATTATAAGAATTTGAAGTGTTTCCTTTTTTTTTTTGGCTTGGAACTTTATAGTAACAAATTAGTAGACCGGGTTTACAGAGACGTACACAAACGAATGAACTTACACATCTGACTATGCATTACCATGAAGTTGCATACAGACAGAACACATATACACAGACAGGTATATACACACGAGCATGGACACACGGCCACATGTATCCACCAATGTACTACTGTAAAGAAAAATGTATGTTTTGGAACACAGCAGACAACAGAGAAAGATCGTTTCAAATGGTACGAAAAAGATAAAAAAGAAAAAAAAAATTACAAAGAGTTGGAGAAGATTAGTTCCAACCAATCACAAGCAATGATTAAAACATCTTGTCTGACAAAGTTTAAACAAGATCTGCAAGTCAAAAAATGGGATTTAAGATCCAGTCACTGTTGAACCGCCTTCCCTGTGCCTTTTCTATAAATATTTCCATGGTAATTGTTGTGATGAGTTTTCCACTTTGGTACTTAGAATTTAGGAATTTAAGCGCAGTACTAGATTGGCAGGTAGGTCTCATCGCTTTACTGTTGAAGTAGCTAGATTTAACCGTAATTGATATATCAACAGTTTCTTCTACACTTCGCGCTTATGTTCCTGTTCCTCTCTACTTAACTTTAATCTTCAAAAAATTAAATCTTTATCTTCTGTATTCTTCACTCCTAGACTTTTATTGTTCTTTCTCCATAATAATTTTGGAATGTGTGAAACTTATCACGCTAGTTTAGTGATCGTGTTAATTAAAATGTACATCAATATTTGGGGTTGTGTCAAACTTAAATGGGGTACTTCTTTCAAATTTGAAGTTTCCACAATAATATCCTTTGAAATAATACATATATATATATATATATATATAAAATTTATATTACGTTGTTGAAGGCCTCGTTGCGCGAAACAGTTAGCAACATATTTATAACCTATTTTTAACACATTTATATTAAACGTATTTTTAATGTATTTTAATTGAAATTTATTATATTCTGAGATACGCCCAAACAAGCAAAGACACGCGCGCTGACGATTGCGTCTAGCGGGAAACAGCCTGTCGCCTCTGAGTGTTGACTTCAATGTTCACTTTTATATTTATATTTACATACGCTCTATCTCTGATATTGAGCACTTTATCCCATAAATATAGCACACCTTAAAATATATATATATATATATATATATATATATATATATATATATATATATATATATATGTTCAGTTGTATTTATGACTCTGGGTTTCCTAAGTCGATCTTATCCATTTTACGTAAGAACAGCGGGAGGGCTTAACCTGTGGGGGAACCATATCTATCTATCTATCTATCTATCTATCTATCTATCTATCTATCTATCTATCTATCTCGGTCTGTTTATTATCTATCTATTTATCTATCTATCTATCTATCTATCTATCTATCTATATATATATATATATATATATATATATATATATATATATATATATATATATATATGTACTTTTTTGTATGTGCATTACTTAATGGAAAGCACTCAGTATCTGTGACAGAACTAACATATTCACTTGTATGGATGTGACACAAACTCATATTCATACCACTGAATATGTTAGCTCTATCACTGATGCTTGAGACCTTTCCACTAAGTACTGCACATATAAAATATAATAATAATAATAATAATAATAATATATATATATATATATATATATATATATATATATATATATATATATATATATATATATATAAAAAAAGGGGTGTTCCAATAACTTGGACTGGTTTTTAAAGTGAATTACGTTTAAGCGTCTAATGATTTTTTTCTTTTTCTTCCAGATTTGGCGAACATTTAGGCGATATTATTTTTCATACATAATTGCCTTGACTTAAATAACATGATCCAATAGAAAAATAAATAAATTTTCACTAATGACAGTGATTTGTTTACTGCTGACTTTGATCCTTCTCAATGAAACATGCTTATATATAATCCGTCTTAATAAGACACCCTTTAAAACAGAGGATGTCTGTGTGTCTGTCTGTGTGATACCTTTTCACTCGAGATCCATCCAACAGATTTTAGCCAAACTTGATACATACATTGTACAGTGTAAGAGATAGGTTCTTAGCGGAATAAATCGATAATTTAAAAAAACAGATAATCGATAAAACCGATCAAAATTCCAGCCGGGTTAGTTACATTCACTTAAGCGCAAATAATTTTGGGTAACCATGAATACATCTTTTCTTCCCCAATCTATGTGATAAATAGCAGGATAGGCTGGGTTGTATTGTTTCGGTTTGGTTTTGTTTGTTTTGTTTTAGGGCATATCAATCGCAATGGGTTATTTAATACCGACAATATTTTTATTGCAGGTAATATTTTTTTTTAAAAATGTATTGCTGGTAACAATTTTTTTTACATAAATTTATTGCTGGTATTTTAACCTATTATACACTTTCATAATAATTTGACCTCAGTTTGGGGGTTACCTATTTGCCCATTGTTGGGACCCTAAGAGGTGCTACCGCCTGGGCCAAGGTGGGCCTGGGAACACCAGCAATTAAGAGGTGGTTCCACGTTCTTCTAAACCTCCTGATCAGAGGTCTTGTTGTTGAATGTAGTTTATCATCTTACCCAGGACGCGGATGTAGTTTATTGTCTTACCCAGGACGCGGATGTAGTCTATCGTTATATCCAGGACAGTGCCTTCAATAGATTTTAAAATGTAAATGCGAAGACAGATTTGTAAACCTATTCGATATACTAATTAAACTTTTACAAGTTTAAGTTTGAATAGATTCCATAAGTGAAATGAAGAAGTATATATATATATATTACATCGATTTTTTCTTTTTCTTAAAAGCTCAATGAAATTTCACTTCTGCTTCAAGGCAAATTATATCCGTTTACTAGACTGTAAACATTTTCTGGAAGCTTTTGCCTTAAAAAGAAGCCTTTTTTTTCAGAAGTGATTTACAGAAGAAACCTTCCAATAACATGCACGGGTTAACAAAAATAATTGCAGATCTGTCCAAACAAATTTTTAATATTTACGCAACCTATATGCATGTTGTTATTGAAATAAATTTCATTTTTCTTTTTTTTCAATCTAAATGCAGACCCTAGAAATTTTTGTTTGGGATATAGAATCTGCCGATAAAAAATATCCATGACGTATTTATTGAATTAAAATGACATTATGAGTGTATAAATAGATTTGAAAGACATGAATGAATTACAGGTGTCAATTACAACTTAATATCTATAAACAAACGCCTGGTCTGATGATTTATCGTGTGTGAAACATACAGCAATTGTGGCCGGCCAAACGCGTGCCTTGATGAAAATGAGGGAAACTAGTTCGCGTTTTTTATTTAGTTGAATATGCATGTAATCCAGTCAGAAAATATTAGTAAAATGAAATAAGTAGCCCGAACACACACACACACACACACACACACACACACACACACACATATATATATATATATATGTATGTATGTATGTATGTATAACGCGTTTTCTTTCATTTTTATTTTTAAAAAATAATAGAAAACGCGTTACATCCACCGATGGACTTTATCAAATCAAGTGTAAGAATTTTAGTTTCGCACAACTATTTTTAAAGAAAACTAAAAATGTCGTCAGTTTTACAAAATTATTAAATTTAAGAACGATCATGGATATTCATCCGGTTAAGTGAAAAGTTTAGGTGAATTATGGACGATCGTAAGGGACATAATTTAAGGTCTAATGAAAAAAGTAAAAAAAAAGTAAGAAAAAACAAATTCCTTACATTTGTTTATGAGACATTGATTTACCTGACTAAAAACGACGGATCTTTTGGGTTAATTCTCACCCCACGAATAATGTTAATTACTTATCGCAAATATTAATTCACCTCAAGAAATAATAAATTTTAAATTAAAGTTTGTTGTTTTTTAATTAAAATTGTGGCATTCTTTTGAAATTATAAATTTTAAACCAAAACAATTCCAAGACTCAGAATGAAAAAGTATAAAAATTATTCCCATTTCGTAAATGCGGATAATATTCGAGGTACTTACAAGGAATTTTCACTATTAAAAACAAGTGAAAATATCTGTTTTTCTCTTGTTCATCAGGTTAGCGCGATGCGGACAACGCACTTAGAAGATCCGGGTCACCTACATATGCAGCAATTGCAAAGATCAACTCAACCAGTGTGCAATGGAAGTTTCTCATTCTGGAAGAATTTGAAGTGAATTTTAGTAAGTTCTTTTATCTTGGATTGAATTAATATTTTGGGGTAAATCAATATTTTAGGACTAATTAAAATTTTGTAGTGAATTAATATTTAGGGGCGAATTAATATATTGGGTTAAATTAATATTTTGAGGTGAATTAATAGAAAACAAATCCAAACCGAATGACAAGGAACTGCGATTTCTAGCATAATATATAAATAAATAAATAAAAATAAAAACCAACAAAAAAACACCCAAATCTTTATATGGAGGTTTTGGTCCTCGTTTTTGAAATATGAGAACTCTTATGTAGCAAAGTAATCATAATTTAAAAAAAAAAAAACATCTATAATTTAAGCTCTACTTTTGTATGGAGCACTGTTTTTTAAAAATAAAAAATAAAATACTAAA